GAGAGGGCAGGGGCGCCGCCGCCTCAGACCCACACCTCCTCGCGCGGGAAAGAAAAACACGGCGGAAGTTTTTTCGTAATCTTCGGCCTCCGGAGACCCTTGCCGGGCCTCGGGGCCGTCAACAAAGCGGCTCGGGATGGAACACCGGGCCAGGGGAATGGGTCGAGACCCAGTGTACACCCGAGAAAGCCCCAATCAGTGGATGACTTGAACATTCATGCTGTGGATCTTGAGTTCGATTGTGAAGTCGATAATGAGATCGATCGTGGAATCGATTGTGAGGACGATTGTGAGGTCGATCGTGAGACCGAGAGTGAAATCGATTCAATGAGATCGATAGTGAGACCGATCGCGAGTTCGCTCATGCGATCTCTAGTGAGATCGCTTGTGAGATCGATCGTGGGATCGATTGTGAGATCGATGGTGAGATCGATAGAGAAGTGGGTAATGAGATCGATATTGAGACCGATCGATAAGAAGATCGACCAGGAACCCGGGAACCCGGGAACCTCGCCGCCCTCCGAAATCGGCCCAGAACCCGGAATCGGGAACCCAGGAACCCAGCGTGCGACCAAAATCAGCAGGACACTTTCGCGAAATCTTTCAACTTCCGCGAGGACCCCTTGAGTGCAAGCATTGATTGGGGAATAAACAAACACGACGGGAGGTTTCTCGTCATTTTCGGCCTCCAGGGGCCCTTACCGGACCTCGGGACAGTCAAACAACGACTCGGGATGGACAACCGAGACCCTTGAGGGTCGACGTTATGAAAAAAAGTCATGACGTCGGGGGTCTGGGGATGAGGAGGCAGGGGTGCCCATGCCGCTGCCCTTGCCTCGTTCTCCTCGTTTGGGGCCTCCGCGGAGGCCCCGCCGCCACCGCTGGATTCGCCCCGGAGTTCTGGTCAGAACGTGCCGCGGGAGATGTCCGAGGAGCCGCGGTATCCGTACCTCTCGGTCCCCTCAGAGATGGCGCAGGCGACGTCGGGGGCGGGGGGGGGGGGCAGGGGCTGCGTGGCGTGCAGGTGGAGGAGTTCGAGGAGAAGGAGGAGGAGGAGGAGGAGGAGGAGAGGACGAGGAAGAGGAGGGGGAGGAGGAGGGAGGAGGATGAGAAGAATGAGAAGGATGAGGAGGAAGGGAGCAGGAGAAGGAGGAGGGGGAGGAGAGAAACACGAGAAGGAGGAGAAGGAGGAGCAGGAGGGAGGAGGGATGAGAAGGACGAGGAGGAGGAAGAGAGGAGGAGGAGAAGGAGGAGGAGGAGGAGCAGCAGGAGCAGGAGGAGGAGAGGAGGAGGAGGAGGAGGAGGAGGAGGAGGGAGGAGGAGGGAGAGAGGAGGGAGGAGGAGGAGAGGAGGAGGAGGAGGAGGAGGAGGAGGAGGAGGAGGAGGAGGAGGAGGAGGAGGAGGAGGAGGAGAGGAGGGGGGTAAGGGGGGAGGGAAGGGGTGGAGGGTTGAGGGAATATATCTAATCGGTTGCCCTCACAGCAGGCAGCGTGGAACCTGACCGCGAAGCTATGGGCTCCTCGGGCGCAGCGCAGCGTGCGTGGTTTAGCAGTGTTGTAAACGGCGTGGGGCTCCCCCCCACATTCATGGCGGGTGCGGGGAAGTTGTGCCGCCGCCCCGGATCCTGACCCCCCGAGGTCCAAATCAGTCTCCAGAGGTTCCAGGGAGCTAGAGGTGCCCACGACCCCCCCCACCGAAAACGTCCAAGAATCCCGCAGGGTCCATGTCGGTCCTGTGAGCCGATTTGACATCAATATCAGTTGGCTCGATCTGGTCCGATTCAGATATTTCGACGATCCAATGCAGCCCGATGCTTGCATGGCGCTGCTGTGCGTCCTGGCGCGGCCGATCAGACTGCATGCTGGATCCAGCCCGACCCGACGCGCGCTCCAGCTGGCTGATCCTGCCTCCGCTCGACGCTGACTGATCCTGTGTCCTGTATCATTGATCGGGTCGGACGAAAAGATGGTGAGGAGGAGGAGGCAGAGGAGGAGGAGGAGGAGGAGGAGGAGGAGGAGGAGGAGGAGGAGGGAGGGGGGAGTCCAAGTCCAGCAGCCCCAACCGAACCCGAAGGAACGGGAGGGGGCCGAATTGGGGGCACCTCAGGGACTCCTGAGGACCCAGACAGGGGGATCAGCACAGCGGCCGAACCATGGACCTGCTCAAAGTTGTACTCAGTAATCGACAACATGGGGATCCAAGAGGCACATCTCGTTTGGGGGGGCCTGAGGGGCAATCTCCTGCGACTCTCGGTGCATCCGAACTGCTCTGGACACCAGGATTGCAATTTGCTTCGTGCTGTGGCAAGACCGCCGAAGCAGTGTCTTGTGATGATCCATCAACGTTGGCAACCTGAATGTCCGCGGCCCCTGCATGTGCACACACATCCACCCATGCATGCCCAATCGCATGTGAACGACATCGTACAGGTCCTTGTGGTTGGGCATCCATACAACTCGACACCTCGCAACATCGTCTCTGCACAGCTCGAAAATGGATCTCCAGGTACTTGCATGCATGGATGCTGCTCTCGAAAACGACATGTCCCACGCGTTCGCCTCCTTCACGAAGCTGAGGCCATCCGAAACAGCCAGGCCTGGCCTCCTCATAGATCTTAGCGCCATCAATCCAGCAAATCGTTAGTCCCTTGGAGCTGACTGTTCAAAACCATAGGGGACCTCTGTATTTTGCTCTCACAGGCCATCCAGTGATAGGGTCCAGTTGCACCACTGCCCAGCTCACCCTGCGTAAAGTAGGATGAGCACTGTGCAAGCCCGACGCGCCGCAATACGTCACAGTATTCCGCTCACCCGAGCAGCCTTCGCATCCTTGCACAACAGGCGGGTCCGACGGTGGCCCGGGCTGTAGTGGCTCCAGTGGGATACAGCAGGTGAAGTTCGCCGCCACCGTCGCTCTCGACCACCAGCTGCTCACGTCCCGCCCGACACTCGAGTGCTCCCCCAGGGAGCTCTTCTTGTAGCAGCTCCGTCTTCTCCACCAGCTTCGGGCATACATACAACTGGTGCCCCAACGTACGCCTCGGCGCTTCACAGCGAATACATTGTCTGGATGTCGTCAGGACGAGCTCGAACGCCCTGTCTGGGCAAAGCAGGCCTCCCGACCACAACCGACCCATAGCATCTCTGAGCGGCCCAGTCTGCAGCTTCAACTCGCTCTGCGCATCGCCCTTCTCCAAATCTGCTCATCGCCGATCCGCTCATGCAAATGCTGCAGCACCCTGTCCATGTCCCAGCTGTAAATGGATGGATTCAGCCTCTTCTCAATATCTCTGGGGGCGACCTGCTGCAAAGACTGATCACATCCCCGATCATCTCTGAGCGCGAACCGGACAGGCAGATTCTAACCCAATCTCCACAGCGTGAGCCACACAGCGACCGCCGGACCTCCCGTAGTCTGCCGTGTCGTCCTCGTGTTTGAACGTATCTCTGCATCTGCCCGCCATGCGTAAGACATGCCTGACGCTGGAACTCGCTTGCCCCAGACAAAACTGGCATAGCGTTTGATCAACAGCGTGCTACAATCGAATATGGGATCGAACCGATCAGCACTCTGCGAAGCAAGGTAGCGCGTGAGCGAGGCACTGCGGGCTGCATCAATCATGCCACCCGCGAAGGTACGCAACTGCTTGAGCACAGTTCCCGTGGTGCCGCTCACTCCCGTTCCGTGCCCTGACGCCGGCAAAGCCTCGTGCGCCAAAGCACCCCAATGTTCCCATGCACTTGTCTCCTCAGCAACCTAAACCTTTCGCTTTCGGGCTACAAGGGCCTTCATTGTTTCTTTCTCCTGGAGCCTCAAAACCTTGGTGCCGGGAAGCTCATGCCCGAGATTCCGAATGTGACGTTGGCCCGCAGGCGCATGCATGTGACCCCCAGGCTGGAATCCTTTGGCCGCTCGGACCGTGGGGGCAACATACCCAGAGTTGCTCTGCTGGGGTATCATACCCAAGCCGCGTAAGTCAACAGCGAAGTTCCTAACACACGTGTGCAATACGTTAGAGCCACTCACAGCATTGCCTTTCCATTGTACACGTCGGTCGTTGAAAGTAGGTATTTTTGGATTCCCAGATCCCAATCTACTTTAAGCGCCTTCCTATTTCAATAATTGATATTTTTTGATTTTTTTGGGGGGGCGGGCGCAAATCTAATCTACTTATTTGGTTGTTTTGGTTGTGTTTCGTTGTTGTTGTTGATTGTCTTTGGTGGGTTTTCGTTGTTGTTTATGTTGTTTTTAAAATGAGTGTTGTTGGTTGTTGGTTGTTCGTTTTTTTTGTTTTCCCTTCGGCCTGGTTTTGGTTGTTTTCGGTTGTCTGTCGGTTGTGCTGGTCGCTCCTGGGCCCTGGGCTGGCTCTCGGTCGCTCGGCCCCTTGGGGTTCCCCTTCCTTGTCTGGTTTTGGTTGTTTTTCGGGCGTCTGTCAGTTGTTTCGGTCGCTCCTGGCCCCTGGGCTTGCTCTCGGTCGCTCGGCCCCTGGGGTGCCCCTTCCCTGTCTGGTTTTGGTTGTTTTCGGTTTTCTGTCGGTTGTTCTGGTCGTCCCTGGCTCCTGGGCTGGCTCTCGGTCGCTCGGCCCCTGGGGCGCCCCTTCCCTGTCTGGTTTTGGTTGTTTTCGGTTGTCTGGTTGTTGTTTCGGTCGCTCCTGGCCCCTGGGCTGGCTCTCGGTCGCTCGGCCCTTCGGGGGCCCCTTCCCTGTCTGGATTTGGTTGTTTTCGGTTGTCCGTCGGGTTTTCTGGTCGCCCGTGGCCCTTGGGCTGGCTCTCGGTCGCTCGGCCCCTGAGGTGCCCCTTCCCTGTCTGGTTTTGGTTGTTTTCGGTTGTCTGTCGGTTGTTCTGGTCGTACCTGGCCCCTGGGCTGGCTCTCGGTCGCTCGGCCCCGGGGGGCGCCCCTTCCTTGTTTGGTTGTGGTTGTTTTCGGTTGTCCGTCGGTTGTTCTGGTCGCTCCTGTCCCCTGGGTTGGCTCTCGGCCCCTCGGCCCCTGGGGGTGCCCCT